TTATTTGTTGAAACTGTACTTTCGATTTGATTTGAAACTGTCTCATTGCTATATGTTTATCAATAAAACTTTGAAAAGAAAAAAAAAAAGAAAGAGGCAATATGTTTTCCATTGTACCAACATTTTCACGTTAAACGTTCACCATATTTTTCGAGCACACCTTGTCCTTGCTTTCAGGTGCTGGCAAGATGAACTACAACCCACTCTACACACACGACAGCTCTAAGCCGTCTTCGTGCTGCTGGTCATGAATTGCTCTGCTGGGGACATGCTTCCCCCGACCTCTGGTACCTTAGGTCTTTGGCCTGTTACATGGTTCTCCTAGAAAAGAAGCGCTTCCAGTGAACTCCTGTGCTACCTCACCTGTGTCCAGATTGCCTCAGATCACTTTCATCCTGTCTTATTAATCTTTCAAAAGATGAATTCATATAATGTCAATGTTTCTGCTTGTTGTGGTTGTTCAGGACCAGAAGCTCATGAGAGGCAAGACCTGCCTCCTTGAGGCATTTCTGATTCATTCCCTTTGGACACCAGTGTCTGGTACACAGCTGTGTGCGTGTGTGACTTAGTTGTAAAGGGCATGCTTAGCATGCATAAGGCTCTGGGTTCAGTTTCCAGCCCACAAAACAAAATACACACACACACACACACACACACACACACACACACACACGGGAGAAAGTAAAGAAAGATCTAGTACAGTGCTCTGCATACAATAACAATGGATACTGTTTACCACCTCACATATAGATCTGTGTTTGTTGATCAAATGTATTGTTTAAAGCTCAGATTAGTGAGGTTTTCTTCTAGATGATAATTTATGCTAATGCAAGGAAAATCAAACAAGTTTTATTTTTTGTTGTTAAGAGATTCTTCCCTTTAGCAATTCATTAGAATATGAACTTCACTGCCATCTGTGTGTTTGTGGCATTCAGGTGGGAATTCAGGACCTTATTCCAACCCAAGTACCAAAGTGAGAGAAATTGTCAATGTGCATTAATTACCAGCCTGCCAGGAAAAGACGGGAAGGCAAAAGAGTAATTTAGGCAAGGCTAAATGCCAAATAGATTGGACTTTAAAATTTAGTAATTTCATAGTTGAATTAGTGAGGGGAACATTTTCATCCGTTGTGGCCCAATGTGCAGCTCACACGAGACAGAACCAGGCATCAGTGTATGGAGATGCCAGTGTGGAGGCCAGTGGTGCCACCTAGCCGACTGCCCAGCCAAGCGCTCAGCATGCAAGAAGCACCAGGAAGAGCTCTGAAGGAGCAAACAGACAAACACAGAGCTGGATGTCACACACACATGCTATTACAGATCTGGCTGAGAGACTTGTGCTCTGCCTTACTAACAAAAGGGTCTGAAGTAAAGAAAGTTCGAATTCTGCTCACCTCTCCTTCATTAACTTACTTAACAAATATTAATGCTGACTATCTGCTCTGCATATGCAACTTACTGAATAGGCAGAGCCCCTGCCCTCAGGGAGCTGATAATCTAATGAAAGAGTTGAAGCACGCTAGACCATAGAGGGAAGTAAAACCACCAGGAGAAAAGCCACGGAGCATAGGCAACAGCGAGCGCACGTAGGAGACTAGACAGTCAGAACAGGTCCTCAAGCCCACAGTCCAGAAAAGTCCCACGTGATCTTGGCAGTAGTAAAGTAAGTGAAGAGAAATCTCAGTCTTCACGGAGCCCCGCAGCTGAAGTGCAGCAGCCGCCTGGGTGACAACAGCACCCTCATGCTCAGCTGAGGACCCGCTACTGGGGCTGTGTCTTGGTCCTAGGCCCTTTCCTTCCCTTACGACTCCTCACACTCTAAGCTAAAAGCCAACAAATGCCAGCAGTTAAAGCTAGGCAACGTGATGACACATTAAGTTCTCCTAACGCAGCGAACAGTTCATACATACCAAGCAGATAATCTGCGTACGAGGACAAGAGATCCACAGTGGCAAATTCCGGGAGACTCGGCAAGACCATCTGATTGACTGTATCGGTTCGAGCGTTCTTCTTGCCAATGAGAAGGTTCACTGCCAGGACAGCTTCACTGACCTACAATTATTTCATATATTAGTAGTCAAAAGTCTTCTATTCAGATATTACCCACTGCATAAATGCTGTGGCTCTGATGGCCCCCCTAAATTTTTAACAAGTCAGCAAATCGATTTCCAGCTGGCAGTGGTAGGACACAGGCCATTTAAGGGGTGATTAGGTCGTGAGTGCTCCACCCTCTTGGTCAGATGAATGTTGCCATGGAACTGGGTTCTTCTCACAGAACAAATCAGCCCCCTGCAGCCCCCTTCTGTTTCCTGTCACTTCTCCTTTCACCTGCAGCTACAGAATGATGCAACCAGCAGGTCCTTCCTAGCTCAGTCCCTTCATCTTGGCTTTCCTGGCTTCCAGAACTAAGTCAGGAAATTTCTGCTAATTATAAATTACCTGTTCTGTACTGTTCTATTATAGCGGCATGAAGCAGGCTCATACAATAGCTAGTGTGAGGTGAACTCATAAAATAGTATTCGAATTTTGCTGAGTTAACACACCTATAATATTCAAATGACAGAACTAAACAAAAAAGGGGATACAGATGAATGTCCATTTTGTATCTGTGTATTCAAAATGGTTAGGATAGATACATAGTTATATTCTCTCAATGAATAGAGGGATTTTGTTGTAATAGTGTTTGTAAATAGGATATCATGTCTGCATCTTGTACAGCAAATAACCACTAGGAAGAGAGTATGCAATGTCTTAATTATTGAAACTGTCCTACCAATTTGATTTGAAACTGTCTCATTGCTATTTGTCTCTCAATAAATTTATGGAAAAAAATAAAATAATATTCGATATATGTTACAAGAAAAAAATGACAACCTCAAAAAAAGAATACATGATCCGTGACATGTACAACTCACATTATGATGAAATAAGTCATTTAGTTTTGACAATTTAGTTAATAGATAAATCACATAACCATGACAAATATTTGCCAAAATGTCAAACATGCACACCTATGAATCCACTAATGTTTTCATTAAATATTATTGAAACAAACAGCTATGTCTGGTATGACTAGTAGAGACTAACACCACTGCACTAAACTTAGAGTATTTCTATTCTTTCAAAAAAATTTGTAATGCAAATCCTAAAGAATGAGAAATTTTTCTTTCTTTTGTGTAGAACTGTCCTGCCTTAATAAGCGCAGTAGGTGGGGGTACTGACACCAACAATACCAACCTGTGTAGCAGCTCTTATTGTAATCCAGGCCAATAAATTGCATATTTGAAATCTATTTATTATTGATTCTTTACTAGAACTAGTCCTTCTGACAAGAGGCTAAAATATAAAAAAAGAAACAAAGTTTTATGGTAAACACATAAAATATAAAATTTCTTGATAGATCACTTTGTTGAATCCTTATTTTGATCTTCTCACACTGGTCAAGTACTATTTAGCCATTAACAATAATAATGCATCTATTGAAATGAAAAGATATTTCAGACATGTTAAAGAAAGGTTTAGGCTATGAAACAGCATGAAAACTATGATCCCAGTTTTTGAAATGTAAATATATATACTGCCTATGCAGAGAAGCCTATTGCCTACATACCACATACAGACATGCACACATATATTCAATTTTAAACATAAGAAATTCAGTGAGCAAAACAAGCCTCTATTAGTGACACAGTATCCAGCTTACATATTTAAGTATAACTACAATAAATAAGTATTAATGGTTATTTCTTAATATCTAAATAATCTGAATAAAAGTAACTATTAAATTAGACCTTTCAGTACTAATGTTTTGAGGCCCATATTTTGATCAATTCTTTAATCTTTAAGAAAGCTATACACTAAAATAAACAAAAATTAAAAATATATCTTAATTTTTACTTCCATCTAGAAGACCGCCAGGAATAAGAGAGGGCAGTAGATATGGTACATGCTCAGGCAGTGAGTACAGCGCCTTAGTGAGATGATGCTGGTCAAGGGATAGCCTTGGAGGAAGATGGCACCTGGAGAGCTCTGTCTCTGGGGACCACACCACTCAGGCCTGTGCTGACGTAAGAAGACTCTAGGCCCTAGCTGTAGGGGACTACACAGGCTGAGGGAGGAATGGCCCGCTTACTGGCTCTGTAAGCTCGAGCAATTTACCTCCTTAAATTCTAGAAGGAAGACTAACAGGCATGAGATGAGGAATGCAGAGGAATATTAAGCACCTGAGTGCAGGGAAAATTAGTTACCCAGACACTCAGAAAAGATAGAAACCATTTTTTTAATGGAGTGGAAATTTTTATGGTGGAAGCTGGGTTTGAGCTCAGAATGAAAAAATTTAGACCTAGGAAAGGACAGTTTGCACTTTTAAAGATGAGAATGTCAATATTTCACAGCTTATCCAAACAGGAAAGAAAGAGAAATGAGAACAGTTTGGATATGAAGAAATAAAACTGTCTTCGTTTGCAGAAAAGGTGATCTATCCGTATTTAGAAAATCCTAATATCCCATCCTCTCTATTAAAAGTATTTATCAAAGACACAAAATATAAAATAAAATATAAACGTTAACTATATTTCTATATACTACCAATCATCAATATGAAAATGAAAATAAGAAGCAATCCATTCATAACAGAAGTAAAAAACACATATCCAGAATATATAAAGAACTCAGAATGTTAGTAACAGACATAAACCAATTAAAATGTGCAAATGGTCTGAATATATACTTCTCAAAAGAAGAAATCCAACCATCCAGTGAATATATGAAAGATGCTCAATATCTTTAGCCATCAGGAAAATGTAAATCAAAACCACAACAAGGTTCTCTCTCACCCCAACTAGAATGACTACTATCAACAAACAAAAAAATAATGAATACTGTCAAAGAGGTGAAGAAAAAGGAATGATTATACACTACCTGTAGGAATGTCAATTAGTATAGCCACTACAGAAAATAGTATGAGGTTTCTCAAAAAACTACAAGTAGTATCATCCTATGATCCTGCTACCCCACTCCTGGATATAAATCTGAAGGTAATGAAGTCACATGAAATGTACAAAATAGATACCTGTGTATCTATGTTAGCTGTAGCACCACATACAGTAGCCAAGATAGGGAATCAGCCAAGTACCTATCAACAGATACTTATTATGTGCAAAATACCTTAGAAAGAATGTAGATATCTAACTAAAGTTAAATAATGACAGATAAGAATTCTACTTTTTGAGTATTGACCATGGATAAACCCATTACCCTGCTTATTCTCCTAGCTATCAAAGAAGAACATGTTAGCATCTTCACTGCAGGTCTGAGCACAATGAGGCCTAGAGGGGCTGAGTTCCACCTGGTAGGTCAGGAAGCTAGAATGCAAACTCAAGCCAGTTCTATGCAGACCGGATCTAAAGGTGAAGCAACAGCCCTCTCTTTCAGGGTTTTGTAATGCTGTCATCATTAGGACGCATTTCAAATGTTATACTTCAGTGGTCTAAATAATTATTTCGGCTTTTTTTAAAGCTATATTCTGTGCTTTCTAGAAACTTTGAAACTTGTTAAAATACACTCAGTCAAAATATTGAGAAAATGATGACCATGTTTTATGGAATTTTAGTATTCTTTAATTCAAATTCTAGCTTCTTTGTGGTCTTCATTATAAATACTCTAGTACAGGCTACAAAAGCAATATGCTATTATCAGATGAGCCCATTAATTTGCATTGCCACATACTAAACAGAGTATTTGCTTCTCTACCAGAAATAAGCATACTTATCACAACACAAAAAGGTAACTTTTCCTAGTTTTGTAATCATTTCAATTTTTTAAAAAAGCAAGTGCTATCCACCTGAGGCAGTTATATGAATAATTCAACCTAATGAGAATTCCATATGCCTAAAAGTTTTAAATTACCTTTATACTATCTCAAAAATTAGAGACTTGGGACCAATATTTTCTTAAAAGATCTCTTGGAGAATCAAATGATTATTCAATAAGGATTTAATATAAAAGTGTACCAGATTTTTACAAAGTAAAATGACTGGGCTCACACACCTCAGAGCCACCTGGCTTCTTCCTGCCCCTAGGATCATGCTTCACCTGGAGCCATAGCACACGTGTGGCCCAAGGCCACAGTTACCCAGAACCTGTCAAAACAAGCTTCAGATCTCGCTCCTGATTTACTGAACCCAAACTGACATTTTCACAAGGTTTCTGGTTTCTCCACCTTAACTTATAATCCTGTTCCTCCTCGATCTTTCCACGCCCCCCATATCATCACCAAATCCTGCTTCGAACCTCACATCTTCCTTCCACATTCATGTGCAAGCCCACCAGTCTAAGCGATGGCTAATCCTAGGCGCCACTAAGTTACCACTCTTTCACCAGCTCCTCTCTTGTCTCTTCTCATCCTCAACCCTTCTACCTTTCTTCCTTTGATGATTTACTGCCTATTTTCCTTTATTGAAAGACAAACCCTCTGAGATAGGCAACTGAGCTCATCTTAGACAGCACCTTCCCACCTCCTAGAACAGTGCCCGGATCAGAGCAGGTGCCATTTGACCAGTGATCAATGAATGGATACCTCTACAAGTTAGCTGTTTACCTACTATGTCTGGATTGAAAGCTCTATTTGTCCATGTGTTCAACCAGTGAGTCATTTCCTACAATTTCTTAATCATTACTAATGACTCATTGCCTTAATTATACAACTTATATTTTGTGTGTAACATTTAATGATCAAAAAAAACTGAAATGAAATCATTTTCTAGAGCCCTACAGAAGCTGTCCAAAGAAGCATCTAAATAAGAGTGTGACTATAAAGCAATTATTTTTTCTAAATTACACAGGAAAGTCCCTTATTATCTCAATAGCACAGTATTACTAAAATGGCAAGGTCAAAGGTAATTAACTTACGATTTCTAACACATTGGCTTTTACCTTGACTGGTGATGGTGACTGGGAAACTTTCCTCTTTGGCATCATCATATGCAAAAACAACAGGGCTAATTCTAGGTAGGAATCTCTTATCAACCTAAAATGATATGGTATTGAACATATTAAAGAGCTTTACCACTCATAAACACTTTACATCATTTTCTGACAACAGATAAACCTATGACAGATAAACACAGGCAAAATTAGGATCTGTCCCAATAAGCAAACCTCCTTCTCACAGCACTTTTGGCCATACCTACTAGAATCTTCCTCCCTGAAACTGGGAGCTCTTGAAGAAAGCTGAGCACCCCATCTTGATCTACACTGGCATACAGTCACTGACTGCTGTGAAGCTCAACACAATGGAATATTCTAGCAGACAAGGAAAAGTCAGGGCCAGAGGAACCGACCTTGAAAACTAGGCTACTGTACTCTTCTACATTAATGAAAATGGAATAAAGTACAGTTGTGCAGAAAGAAGTGATGTACAAATTAGATCTGTGTGTTTACTAACTGTCATTTGGGACCACTTGGATCAGTGGTATTTTTAGTAACAGTGGTTTACCCTCAATATTGAGGTGATATTTGTGAAGAATTAAGCTGGTCAGCCTTGGTGTGGATGACCAGAGTGAATAACCTCACACAGCCCTTCTAGAAACAAATCATATATAAGAAAAGATCTTCTCCTTCAAGTCAGTCAGATGTCCAGGGCAAGTGACCACAACCCGGAGACTGAAAGGAGATCAATCGATCAGGAACAAGTCAGAAGTGATTTGCAGGCCAACATGCCCCTATGACAGTGGGTATCGTTGACCTTTACTATAAAGGGCTCCTACTATAAAGGTAAGAACAGGTTTGAGAAGAAGTCAATAGCAGCCTTGTACTGGTGGATGGTGTACACTAGCCCTATCGTGAAGATACCCATTGGCTCCCCAGATGCTCAATGTCCACCAGAGCACACTGTTCAGACCAAACAAACACTGCTCAAACAATGGGAAGGTGTGGTTTATACCCCGAGTTTTGGTCATTTTTCAGACTTAGTTGTATAGCTTCACATAAACTCTCAAATCTCATACTTAGAGGTTTGTCTTCCATCACTATTTGACGCTCTATTTTGCCTGAAAGAA